GAGAAGGGCTGCAGTCCCCCCTTTTTTCTTGCATTTTTTTTTTTCAATTTTTTGAAGTGAACTATTTTTGGAGTGCTATTGTGCAATTGCCACAGCAATGTATTTGGGTTGTGGATTTGGAGCAACTTTGCACTCTCCAGGCATTCTTTTGGCCGTTTCAGGATCCACCCCTGTAACCATTGAATCCCTTGAATGGTGCAGTGTATATTACGGTGATGAAAGATATGTTTATTCTCAAAATTTGTCTGTTTGCATCAGATTAACTTACCACATCTTCACCCCCTCTCCAACCTTTTTTGTTTTTTCCCTTTACGATAAGTTTTTGGTACCCTAATTGATATAACCTTGAATGGTGAGCATGAAGTGTCTATAATTATTACCAAAAACACAATTACCACTGCTGACTTAATTAACTCCAACCGCTGCGCATTAATTCTCTTTTTTATTGACTGGTAATTGATAATTACGCTGTTGACAATAGACCATTCCCCTTAGTAGGTACTGGGGAACTTCTACAGGCAATGACATAACTTGTGCTCTCTTTGGTGAATAATACCCAGTTAAGGAACAAAAATCAACAAGATTCATTCTCAGTTCCTGGAATTTTTTATACCCATCATTGTTCATTAAAAAAATGCCTGCCTGGAAGGCAACAAATATCTTTTAGGGAACAACAAATGCAGCTCTTTATTATTACATATATTTTAGTACATCTCATATATCTTAATCTGTTACATTACAAATGAGGGGTTGATGTCGCTTTACAACTACGGCACAAAGATTCTTTTTAATTTCTTCTCTGACCTCTCCAAAATGGTGCATCCAAAAATTAGTCACAACAAACGTTTCTCATCCCAAATTCCCTTTATCACACATTTCAGACCCAGTACGCTTACTATAAGTATCCCACTCCTCCACCTCCCCCCACCCCCTCCACCACAGGGTGGGCAATTTTCATTATGGTACAGAAGTATATAAAATGCTCACCCTCACAGTAATTCAGGTCATTTAAAATAAGACTGGGTATTCAATATGGTAGACTCTAATAATTAACCAAAATTTTTGNCCGTGAGATCTTTGTGGTACTCCTTTCTGGGACAAACTGTGTCGTTCTTAACGCATGCGCTGGAGATCCGTTTTATGCCTTTGTCCTTTCTTATGCACTGATTTATAAAATCCAAAAGAGTTTGGATTTTTTTTTGAAAATTAAACTGAACGGTCCGTCACAACTGCAATATTTTTGAAAATTTAAACTTATAGAGGACTTAATCCGTTCATAGATGGTCAAACAGGCAACTCGTCGTAGACGAAAGCACAGTAAGAATTTTTCCCTTCTCCACTTGTCCAGAAACATGTTAAACGCGCAGTTTTCTCCTCGATGTTCCCAGTTTAGCAACTGGCCTCTAGATCTAGCAACAAACTACGAAACAGCGGAAATATTTAGTGTTTCTACAAACAAATTATAGTCCTTGTTTATCCGAAAAGGGCTTAAAGTTCTGACTTTAATTTGATTTGTTATTCGAGCATAGTTCACTCATCAGCTTCCGATCCGCTCTCTTCGGAGCTTGATTCAAACGTGAAGGCAAAATTTGGATTTTCTGTGAAAAAGTTCTGGAGTTCGTCGATTATTCTGAACTGTAAATGAAGAAACTTCATCTCAACATCAAGTTCTCCCATGCATTCGTCGAACTTTTCTGGCGTTGTGATGGATTTTTCCAAAAATTTAAGGAGTTGTGTAACTTTCTTGTGGTGCAGCAGGGACTCCGGAACTGGCAGTGGTTGACCGTAAATCTCGTCTGACAGAACAAGATATTTTAAAATCTCTGTCATCAGAATTGGATGTGTTTTTGAGCTGTCCAACAAATCTGCCAAGTTCTGGGCACTGGGGACTTTACTCGGCGTATCAAGCTTCGCCATCATTTGTGCATTGAGTGATTCTAACCAAGCATTGATTGGGTAAAACGATTTGTATGTAAACATGAAGTTCACAGGAAAGTCCGATGTCGTTTCAAATGTATCTGAGCCCAAAACTGGCGCCTCAGCCATATCTTCGTCCAACATAGAAAATCCAACCTCCAGTGTAACTTTAACGCTCTTGTCATCCATTTGCTGGAGAGTGTTGGATCCACTGATGAAGTAATGTGGACAGTACTTTTTCTTAACACAGGCTCTCAAGTCTTCCATCAGGCGTTTTACGCGATCGCCGACCGTTTCCATGGTCCACTGATCGATGGGTACAGTTTCAAGTGCCCACAAGAAAAGCGTTTTCGGGGTGTATGTGGTTATTATGGACTCCAACTTGATGCATCGCGAGAAAAGGTACTTGAATATAAGATAGCACATCTTCTGTTCTTCTGTGATCGAGGTCATAAGTGTCCTTTCTGCCAATGAGAATGAGTATCTCCACTGTGTCTGTGGGACGACAGTGCTCGCGGCACTGTCTGCCATGTCACCATTACTTGGCGCTTCTGAGCTTTTCACCGATGCGTCAAACTTGGGTACAATATGACACCCGTCTTGTGTTACCTTCTTAATGAGTTCCTCAGGAGGCCACCCTGATGGTCTGTTTCTAGTAGGCCACCCTTTAGCACAGCTGGGCCATTCTTTGCAAGGCACTGACAAGCTGACATCCTCGGTAAGAAAAAGGTGCCGACCTTTTTGGGGACTTAAATATACGATACACATCACCACATGAACCGCTGGGCCCGCTTGTCCGACATACTGGAGGTAGTCTCCAAGGGATATGCAATCTTCCTCGTGGTACACGTTCTCGCTATTGTGGTGTTTTTTTATTCGGTAGACGTTTAAAATGGCTGTGATGATTGTTAATACGTTATACATCTGCTCAAAGAGAAGCTCCGAGGATAAAAGCGTGATTTCTCTATCTTTGACACATAGGTTCTGCAGACCCGGTACCCAATCCACATTTGGAGGGACCGCCAACTGAGCATAACCTGGAGGCAGCGAAGGAATGACTTGCAGTTGTAGAGGTTTCTCTAAAGACTTCAGATCAACTTTCTGCTGTGAATTTTCGCTGGCTGAGATATCCTTAAAACAGAGGTTGTAATCGCATTCAAAAGACAGACCTACATCTCTCATTATGTCATCTTCAGAGTGGACAGGCTGTCTAATCGGTTGGATAATGGGCACATCTTCTGGCATGCTTCCAACTCGTTGGCCGTCATATTTTTGATTCGCTATGAAGCAGTTATCTAGATCGAGCGATCCACTGTGCTCTAAGAGCGTTTGTGTAGTTCCTGGCATAAGTTGATTCAGCATGTGGTGCAAGTTGGTTTTGACATGTCCAAAGCAGGTCTGTTTGATTATGGTCAACATCTTGTAGATGTTAAAATTCCAAGGACTGTAAGGGACACCTTCTGGGTAGTCTATTTCAAAGGGACCGTCATCTGATCCTCCCTCAGCCATAACTATCAAAACAAAATAACTTTAGTAAGTAAGGTCAAATCACACGAGCCTGGTGGGCCCTTGACTGATGGAGCTTACATGTATTCCACAAAAATAATAAAATAAAATAATAAAGCTCATTTTGTGGAGTAACCTGCCGCAGAAATTTTTCGATTTGGTTAAATCTTTGATTTTCTATGGCTCGTCAAAGTACGTCAAAACGCCGCCATTTT